TTTTGATTAAACTCATGAACCGATCGATGCTAGACCACCATTGAAAACACCGTTTGATGCTGGCTTATTGGTCGAGACGTTAACTGTTCGCGCACGCGATTAATGGTCCTGAGTTCAAATCTCGCGCGGGAGATCGTGGATACGGATTGCTCAGCAGTCCCATACTATAACGAGACGGATATTTGGTACTTCCAGGTTTTCAATGGTGGTCTAACATTGACCGATTCATGTAAGTTTGTAGTTATAAAAATTGCCAAATATGCATTAATTTACTATGGTATTTTGTCGAGTTATATATATATATATACTGGCACGCAAATTATTCTTTTGAATACAAATGGAAATCCGTTTACTTTACAATGAAAATCAGATATTTCTTTACAACCTGGTTTTTATGTTTATATAAACTGAATGAAACATAAGTATTTTATCTGAATTCAGAAGTAAATCTGGACAATTTACATCGACTGATCACCGAATGGTAATTAATTTCATGTATTAAGTGTTCTTTTAGGTTTGATTGAATTCTGTTAATTAAGTTGTAACGAATGTAGGTACCTTTTCATTGGATGCATTAGGCAGTCGCGAGAAAAATCCACCAATTCCGTTCAGACACTTGATGACTCAAGAACACAAAATATCTTGTCTGACATGAAATTGATCACTTCTAGATTTCGTCCTATTTAAGGTTAAGTGTATGGTTCACTCACTCAGTAACATAATGATTAAGCACTCTCTGGGATACTTGATAAACCTGGTTTTTATGCTTAATGTTTAGTAGATAGGTACTACTAAAAAGTTAAACACTAGGATGAAATAGTTGTTTAGTATTTCCTGAAATCCAGTGGTGATCAAATTGAAATCAGTCTACAAATTCAGTGATCTCTACAACACTTCAATACGAACGATAAAGTTTATTTGCTTCGGGCATTTTACCACATTTTCAAGTATTTTTAAAATTCCATTCCTTATTATTTCCATTCACGACTATTGTTTTGATATAAGTTCACCCTCCAAAAACAAAGAAACAACTCAAATGTTTTATATAATAATATTACAACAATTTGAATGAATACAAACTAGACAACTAATTCATTTTACCGCTACATTTATATTTGTTTCAATTTCTTGGCTAAATTAAATTTTCTCTTATTTCTAGACATAGGTAATTCCCAAGCTTCCACCGATTTCTTGCCACCGTTACTCTCTTCTTCAATGTCCGTAAATCTATTATTTACAGTCTCCTTTCTTCCCCCTGATTTTTGCTTCACTCGGTTAATGTTGTTAACAAGATATTGAAATAAATAGAAGTTTTGCTACTGAATGGAATCAATTGACAAACGTTTGCGTTTCACAAAAAAGTAAAATAAACACAACGCTTAATTGAATTGATCATAATTGAATCATCTTTATCATCGTATTTCTTTTTTTCTGGGTAGTATCACAATTGTGGAAATGTTTTCTACTGTAAATTCCAAATGATATGATATGAATTATTGAAACATAGTAAGTATTTGCTGATTTTCATAATTTACGCAATTAGACAACCATTAATAGATGGTTGTTTCATCTCGGTATGGGACTCATTCCAAGCGTACATTCACGATCCAAAATGGAGTTCGAAACCAAGAACATCAGGTCTCCTCTCAGCCAGTTTTCTGTTTTCTCCTTGTTTAAACGGAGCTTAATAGAAAGCATGTATAAACACGTCCTGTTACCTAGTTTAACTCCGCCTGTAGCTCTTCTAGAGTTACTACCGGTCCCAAGCCCGGGTAAAGGAGGAGGGTGGAGCATGGGGTTAGAGACCCCATCCCGTAGAAAACTAACTCGCTAAAAAAACGCTAACCAGAAAAGAAATTCAAACCTGTTACCTAGTTTGATTTAGTCACTAATGAATATTTTCAAGGCGTAGATTGTATGGGAAACTTTATTGACTAGAGTTTAATAATAATGTAGTCAAATTAAAAATAGAGGTTTGTGAATTGACATAGACGAGAGCGTGTGAGGTGTGGTATTCGATAAATAAATGATTCATATATTCCTAGTAGCCCAAATCCTTTTGTGAACTGTCCGGGTATAATTGGGTTATTCAAAAATGAATTAGAATCTTGAATAATCCTCTTATTAAAAGTTACCGATGTGGATGGATTCTGAAACAGCGATTTAAAGCCTTTGGGTTTGCTGTCAAAGTTAATGGTATTTAATTTTGGTTCTTCGGTAAGGTTTATAGTTGTACATTATTCAAGTGTCTGGTATAAGGATGAGGCAAAATAATTTAATTAGAGAATAGGTATCATTTAAGTGTCGGATAAAATCTGCAATAAAACTCTCTCACTCAACGAAATATGCACAAGAGGTTATCTTTATCAAATTTACTGTTTCTCATAAATCATGGGATACTATACCGACGAAATTGCTGAATAGGTTTTTCCGTCAACAGTCGGATCCAATTCTATTGAACAGTTCAATACGCTTACCAAACCAGCCATTCATAATAGAAAGGCATAAAGTATTTAGGAAGCTATATGTCCGAATACCGATCAATATATTTCGGTTAGTTGACTGATCCTGATGTGAACACAGTGCAGTAACCTACGTACATGATCCACTTAATACATTCACTCAGATTTAAATATCTCACCTACCAAATGGCCATACAATTTCGTGTGGTCAGTACAGGGTTGCTCAGTATGTCATTATATTTATATGTGAACTATAAAGGTGGTAAATGTAAAATGATATGGGAACTGTAGGGACTAAAAATAGGTTAAAGGGGTAAAGAGTTCAGTGGTTGGAATGCGTAAAAAAAGAGAATGAATCACTGTATATGTGAAAATTTTAATTTTATTCCTTTTAAAACAACAGGCCTGTCAACACGTTTAGTATATCTGTCACACAATCAATGTATCGTCCATATGAACTCCTTCTCTAACCTTCAGTTAAAACAATATCAGACTACAATGGATCCTAATTTCTAAAACTTGATAAATATCTAACATGGATATTTTTAACGTAAATCTGCGAAATTGAATTATAATCAACTGACTAATAGTTTTATGAAAGCTAAAAGATAATAGTCTATGGAAAGACTATAATTTATGAACGAACCAACATGACATGAGATAACGAGTCTTGGATTTTGGTGCAAGATTCAGTTCGTGATCAAAACCTTAAATCAAATTCTAACTCTAACCATCAACTGTAAATCATAATTCTGATTCCTCACACTGGTTTATAACTCTCATTTGGTCCTAGTTATTAAGTATACATTCTCAAAGTCACTTTAACGTCGCTCAAAGGTCATTTGTAAATTATAATCTGACAGAACATACTAACGGATTTAACAGAATCTAGCTATCCAAACTACAGATTTTCATACTTCTGTTTCCATTCCAACACTCATCAAACTTCATGCATTTGGTTCCCTTTATGAAGTTAAATAAAGCCAGGACAAATTTTGATGCAGATATTCGACATACAACACTTGTCATAACCAAGGGATTCTGATTTAAGTTTAGAATAATTTCCTTGGTACATTCGATTTGAAATTTAGTGACACGTTGAAGTTTTTTAATGAATAAGGTATTTTACATGCACGGATGGCTTTAATAATATGACGAGGAAAGCAAGCATTATTCAAGCATTGTTCAAAAAACTTCAATCTTGTTAAGCAAAGATGAATAGTAGCCAGCAGTGGAATCCAGGACGCGAATTCCGTTCTATTTGGGACTCGTGAGCTGGATGTACCTGTATCCATCTTTGTTTAAACAGCTTGTGACTTAAGGCAATATTGAGGTAATTTGCATAAGATGCACATATGCCAACATGAGACTGATCAATTGCAGTCCTATGTAACAGTCGGAAGATACAAGTAAAACAACACCAAGTGAATTAATTCTTGTTGTTTATCTCGATATCCTGCAACAAATATTATTCTGGCTTCTATTTAAACTCATCAAACTGATGATTCGACATATATATACATAACATCAACTGAATTACAGGAAGACCATTGTTCTATTTATTATTCACATATACATATAGATAAGTAATAATGTCTATGAGTTTGATATCATACCCACTGATTAACAATTGTTACCATGACAAAAATATCAAGAAAAAAGAAACGAAGATCAGTTGAATTTTTATATAAATAAATTTTGCATTTATGCGTTAAATAAAAATCTGACCAAAGGGGGGAACATTTCTCAATCTGTATGGGAAATTAGGATATTTATATATATATATAGTTTCATTTATTCAATGGATATACATAAATACACACCAATATAATTATACAATAGAATTCGTTTTTGATAAATATTATGTATACACAAATATCCTATACAATATTCAATAGATACTGATTAGTTAAAATGAAGGGGGAATAAGATTAAGATATTGATAAATAACTGAATAGAAAGTGTATCTTCAAATATTGATTTCTTAGTTTTATATCATTCAAAAGTATTACATATTGGGTAATTTGATACCCCATTTATAAATATATTCACATTTATAGTATTGTTTATTAGTTATTATCATTAGAAAGAGTAAAAAAATCAATAAATAATAGTTGTTACTAACATAATATTAATTGTATTAATAATAATAATAATTGTAACTAAGGAAGAAGATTCAAATTCATTGAAGAGCTGAGCAATTAGTTTTAGTAAAACAAAATGATCAAATAATTCATTAGGATTTGCTGCGTTTATAAAAGGCATATATGTACATGTATACTAATTGTTCACTAGGTATATATATATATATATATATATATATATATAGAGAGAGAGAGAGAGAGAGAGAGAGGGAAGGAGGGAGGTAAGGAGAGAGAGAGAGAGACTCATTAGTCATCTGTATAAATAAATCACAGGCTAGTGAATATCATTTTTATAGAAAGAATCCATTTTGATATGTTTATATATTGTTTATCAAAAAACAAAAAAGAGAAGAAAAAGAAGAAAAAAAGGAGAGACAAAGAAGAAGTTTGTTTTTTAAACACGATTAATACTTTCAATAAATCGTCCAATATTTTCTTCAGTTCCAGTAATTTTTGCACGTTGATAATTGCTCCATAACATACCAGTGACATCAAGTACAATTAAATCACTTGAGATTTTACTTACTGCTTGTAATAAAAATATACCATCCCAACCTAAATTATTATTAACAAATCGAGCACATTCTGTTTCTTCTGTATGTGATAATTGTTTTAATGCTTTTAAATATTGACGTATAAATTGGACACGACGATATGGTAAACATAATTTTGTAATCCATATAAATGTATTTAATATTGTTAAACATGCCATTAATATATACCAAAACCATAGAAATATATAGACTTTTTCAATAAAATAATTTACTGGAAGAACACATTGTAGTGTATATCTGTAATGAACAAAAGAAAAAAATAATAATGAAAATAATTTGGAAAATTAACAAATCTGCTGAGGCTGTTGCTACAGCAGCAGTAGGTTTCAACATACACAAGGATTAAAGCAGGATTCTCCAATACAATACAGTATGCAACAAGCATACTTGATGGAGAAAGTCTGGAGGATGTAAAAATATTTACATATTTAGGCAGCATCATTGATGAACAGGGTGGATCTGATGCAGATGTGAAAGCGCTGATCAGTAAAGCAAGAACAGTATATTTACAACTGAAGAACATCTGGAATTCAAAACAACTGTCAACTAACACCAAGGTCAGAATTTTCAATACAAATGTCAAGACAGTTCTACTGTATGGGGTGGAAACCTGGAGAACTATGAAAGCCATCATCCAGAAGATACAGGTGTTTGTCAACAGTTGTCTACGCAAAATACTTCGGATCCGTTGGCCAGACACTACCAGCAACAACGTACTGTGGGAGAGAACAAACCAGATTCCAGTGGAGGAAGAAATCAGGAAGAAGCACTGGAAGTGGATAGGACACACAGTGAGGAAATCACCCAACTGCATCACATGACAAGTCCTCAAATGGAATCCCCAAAGCCAGGGAGAAAAGGAAGACCAAAGAACGCATTACACCGAGAAACGGAGACAGACATTAAAAAAAACAGCAAGAATTCGATGGAACTAGAAAGGAAGGCCCAGGACAGAGTTGGTTGGAGAATGCTCGTCGGCGGCCTATGCTCCATTAGGAGTAACAGGCGTAAGTCATAGTTTACGTCATTGGCTGACCGGATATTCATTTTAATAAATACATTGGATATTTTTGGAACTCTAGTGAGAAGCCCAAATCACTAGAATCCAACCATATGAAGGAGTTGCTCACAATTAGTTCAGGAAAATGACTGAGCAGTATCAGAAGTTGAGTGGATTTGGATGTGTAAACCACTCGATGGCAAATTAGTAGTTTAAAGGTTAAGCGCTCACCTCGATATGTAAAACATTCTGGGTTTGATCTGTAATGAAGTCGTGAATGCACATTTCTGATAAGAATTATGGGGTGACAAAACAGCTGTCTGGTGCTTCCTGGTTTTTAGTGGTCATCTAACCATTGTTAGTTCACGATGTACTTCTGAGTATTATTTATCAATACCATGTTTTTGTCTGGACCTTCAAGTATTAATGGAATATGTATGTGTTGAATAGCAATGTAGTCGGTCACTAGGCGAAATGAAATTGAACACTATGTCTGGTATTATCAAAGTGCGAATTCTACTCTATTAGAATTAATTTCATTGAAAGAAAGTCTAACATTATTTAATAAAAAACATGATGTTAAATACTAAAAACTGCTAGTCAAATTAACAATACAAAACAAACGTCCTAGCTCACTGAGTCATGATCAAGGTCATGTTTGTCAGGTCTTTTAGCGATGACAGAATTCAAATGGTAACTCAGACCAGGACTAAAAGATTGGGCAAACACATGACAGCGATCAAACAATCCCGCGAGCGGGATCATGGATGCGCACTGCTGAGTAGTCCCACATCAGAGCGAAACGGCCGTCCAGTGCTTCCAGGTTTCCAAAGGTGGTCTAACATCAGTCGGTTCATGATCTCAATCAAAAACTTAATAGTCTCCACAACCCCTATACTAGTAAAGACAATTTGATAATACTTGTTCAGGAATATTATTCATTATAATCTTAGACTCTATATTCACTAATGATTAACTGATGATTACGGACATTTTGTTAGTACAGAAAAATAACCTCTCAATTACATGGAAATGTTACAATCAATATACAACCATACCACATATACATATAAGGTTTAAGTAGATCATTCGGTGATAAATCACTAGTAACCACATCATACCTGATGCAAAACTTTTAAGTTCCAAGTTTCATTTTAATTAAAGGTGGTGTAGTGGCATTGAGCGTATGCCAATGATAAATCTCATGTTCAGTTGAGAAAAATGTCTAATATTTTGAAATGTTCAACGATTATCTCTTTGGAAACAGTCCACAGTTCAGATCATATTCAAACAATGATATTAATAATAGTATATTCGGTTTGATACAAACTGCTTGGCAACAGTAATAATAAAAAATTTGAACTTAGACTTTCCAAAAACTTTCCAAGTTGCATCAAGACAAGGATTTTTGACAAAATTAGTAATGTAGAGCAATAAAATGTGTAGAGAGTGCATAAACCTTAGTGAAATCAAATTAATTAAATACCTTCAAGAATTTCCCCAAAAAAGTTTTCAGAAGCCTAGAAAAGACATCGAATAGAAACTTCCGAGGAAAGTCTAAGAAAATGAAACGTTTTATGTTATTCCTGGATCATTACTTACGACATTACTAAAGTTAATGTGTTTTTCAGAACTGCTCATAAATAAATAACCCAGCTTCTTATGCATAGATCTTATCTTTACTTAGCAACCTTTATATACTATTTGGGCACTAAGTATAAGAATATTTGGGAAATCTGAAAAATAATTAAAAAGTCTGTATCAAGTATCCAAGTAACAGAATAATTAAATTCGTTAACGAAAATATGTTCAATAAGCGCAAAGATGTGATGAGTATATAAACGGATAGTAATTGCTAAAATATCATGAATATAATATAAACGAATTGTAGAATAAGATCTAGTATAAGATATATGCTTGAAAAAGAACCAAAAAACAAACGAAATGTATACAGATCTAAGGTTTACCTTTAACAAGCATAAACTACAGAAAATAATCATGGAACTAAATAGACTGTGACACACCTACATGAGGTCGAAGCCATCATAGAGATCATATTAAATGTAACCATTACATACGTATTTTGAAAAGAGTAAGAACAAAGATTCTAGCACAGTATCATTAATTCATTTTATTTCGTAGGTTCTCGTCACCACCGATAAACTGGAAGAAGAGTTGATGAACGTGGGAAAGTGTCTAAGAAACTATTTTTACTCACAAAAGTTTGTTGACAAATACAGAAAGCCTAAAGAAAACGAGACGGAAGTAATTACTGTCAATAAAAAACCAATATCTATGAATCTTAACTTCAAAGGTGATAATGTCGCAAACACAATTAACAGGAGACTGAAAACTGCGCTAGCCAAAACTTATCCGGTGGTCAAACTTTTAATTCTGTATAAAAAACATGTTCAATAACTCAATCAAAGGTTGAAAAGCAACCCTTTTGTGTTAACGCCAACTGTATTTATAAATTTACGTGTACCTGCTATATTGGCCGAACAGAAAGAAGGGCATATCTTAGATTTTTGAACATGTTCCAAAGAGCCTCAGAAAAACAGAAAGAAAGACTATAAATAGTACAATCACCAAACATCTTCTTGATATAGGACATCAGGTCGATACCTTGCAATCCTTCAAGCTGATTAGTAAACAAACAAACTCTAGTCTTCTGAAGTTTGCTGAAGCCGTTGCTAGCAAGCGTCAAAAAATTAACTTATGTGTTCAAATGGAGGTGGTTATTAATCTTTCCTTGCCTTGGTGACTAACATTCCTTCACTGAATCTTAATATATATTTTTTTCTTTTTCTTCAAACTCTTTATCTCATTTATTACATCATTGAGTTTTATTCCAACTATCTTCCAAATTATTAATCTTATTTTATCAACTGAGCTTGACTCATTTCATTCCTATCAATGTTTACTCATTATGTAATTACTTATTTCTGGCCGTTTGAATTGTTGTCACAATCAATGTTGTCGAATGTTCTTTCACATAAGTATATATTGACATATTCAGTCTATTAAATTTATTTACACCCTTGCTATACTATACTAATATATCTTCAATATAACTTCCAACCAAACTCTCCCATGTAAGTAATTTAAAGCCAATATGTAATTATGTTTTTAATGTCACTGGTTGTGAGCAGCTGACAAGAACCTAAAAAATAAAAAAATAATTCATGCTATTCTGTTAGGATCTTTATTCAAAATGACAATGGGGAACTATGTGTATGAAACATATAGATATTTATCCACTTATTTATACCCTAGTTACAAATATTTGTTTGTTCCTTCAGTTCCCTAGTTTCTTTCTTTTTCCCAGTACTTTCTACAATTTTTTCATATTCTAAGGTCCAGGATAAAAAACATACACAATCCATAGGTATTTAGTAATGGTAATACCAAACAGAATGAAATATGATTGTATTATAAAGATTATACACTATGGTATAATCAGTTCATATACACAATTTGAACAATGTGATCTTATTGTGATTTATGTAATTCATAATGTATTTTATTGTACAATGTACTGAAGAGATTTTATTAAACTAAACAAGGAATAAACAACAACGTGACATTTATAGTATTGCTAATAATGAATTACCTGCGTCAATGGCATCTTCCTAAAAACAATTTTCAAACAAAAGAGTGAATTGTAATGTAACGAGTTGGAATGAAATCCAGGACATGCGTTTTGTTGATATTATAGGACTAGTTAGCCGGATACACATGACATTTACACCGAGACTACAATATAACATTTATCGTTTCAAACAATAACATCTTATCTATCAAGCGAATGAGTTTAGATAGCTTTAAATTCATTCAATGTGTGTGATGTTTATCCATAAAAACGTATAGTAACCCGTTGTTTATAAATAAAATTGAATTTTAACCAGTTTATGTTGGTTTGTCAAAAAGAATGTCTCAATATTACTGTTAGTTTCAACTGGTAGTATATTTTTAAATAATAGCTAACGCTGGAATTCACCACAAGTGTTTTGTTCTTTTAGGAGTCTTAAGAACAATTATGAAGTATATAAATGATGAACAAATCAGTAACTATTTGAATTAGTAACTGAAATGTCAATACATTGATGTTTGAAGTAATAGGTGCTACTTTTAATTCGTACCATGGACATTGATACTAAGCTGCAATTCTATCTAACTGAGAATTTCAATTAGGATAAAATATGTATCCTCAATTCCACTGTTAATCAGTTTATGA